ACACACGCAAAAACAACAGTAAAGGCCATGTGAAGGATATGAACCAGCTTGTGAAGCGGTTGGCGAAAAATGGGTTTTCGCCTCATGTTGTGCCACCTTTTCAGGGGTCCAACACCCCATGTGTAGTGATGTAAGCTGGTTTCTGCTTGTAATAATTTCTTTGATGCACCTGCGAGACAAACGAGCCTGCTGGCATCTGACGCACCCCAACCAAGGTTTGCCGCTTCCACAAGAACCCTGGGACCTCCTCAAAAAGTGCAAAAAAAAGTCAAAGATACAAAAAAGCAACAAGAAGAACAAACACATCCTTCAAGTTTGAAACCCCTTCATTTCCCGACAAGACAAGAGTCAGGCCCACCCCACCCCCCACCCCCTGGCTTGGGCCATGCACCAAGCAGCGCGCGTCGCGCCCCTCGCGCCTGGTCGTAGAAGGCGAAACGGTGCACTGCGGGGATACCGCAGTCCGCAAGGTTCAGCACCTCCTGCAATGACTCGCGCGTCATTTGTTCGTGAGTCAGCACCCACCGGGACGGGCATCCAAAGGATTCCCACCGCAAGCATATGGGGTCTCCGTCTTTTTGGCGGTCCCCGGTTGTTTGGGGTAGCCTTAAAGGGCGGGAAACCGAAGCCAGTTTGAGGGTCCCGCTCGTTCCCACATTCGACTTGGAGCCCAGTGGTTTGGAGCTTGGGGGGTTCCCTTTAAGCCTCTGCAAGGGGTACCAATCCCCAAAAATCCAAACCAATGGGTTACCCGAACAGCGAAACATAAAAACCGACCTGGCCAGTGAAAACCAGCCGCTGGGCTGAGTCAAAGGGTGGCCATCAGGACGCCATGTTAGCAAAGCGTCACTTTCAACTAGACTCACTTGCCGAGGGATCTGCCCCCCCCGCCTTTTTTTTCCACCGCCCTGGCTCAGGTCAGAACAAAACTTACCCGAGATGGACAAAAAATCTCGTCAAGCGCCTGAGTTGCCGTGACTTAAATTGCCCCGAATCGGGGTCGCTAGACAAGTCGGTCAAGCTAATATAGTTTGTGGAACTGATGGGAAGAAGCAGTCAGTGAGCCAGACAGCAAGCCAGTCAGACAGTCAATCAAAATGGAACAATCCCTCGCAAATCAGCATCGTAGAGATCTTTGAACCACCGAGCCCTCTTTCTTCCAAGCAATCCTGACAGGTTGAGAGGAACCCAAAAACAAGGACACCCCCAAAACCATCACAGGTGTACAACATGCTCGAAGCCAGCCCTTTGCGGGGTAGACCTGGCTCCAAAAGTGCATTGAGACAAAACCGACCCCAACTCCCACTGCAAGCCTTGTGCAGCAGACCCCGTCTTTGCTTCCAATTCGGGGAGTTTTCAGACCGCCTCCCGGTGTCACTTTCAACTGGACCAAATGTTGGGTGCTCAAACAGCAAATGCCCGACTCACAGCTCGCTCTCCAGATGTCTCCCCCCTATCTTGCGATCAGAGATGCCGCCGAGCCCAGAGAAGGGTTCATTCTCCGAATATGGGTGCGTCTTAACATAGGGAAACCCTCCAAATGATTGATGTCCTTTTGGAACCCATTTGAACATCCTCATTTTGGGCCCAGTGTCAATCTCTTTTTGGAGGTACCCTTTTTTGGTTGGTGAGGAACCAAAAACAAACCGTTGCCATTTTGGGGGTCCCGCTGCCTTCGCTAGGTGCCCATTTGGGAAAACAATCATGAATTCCACGGGTAAATTAGAACTTAAACCATCAGAAAGTCCACTCGTCTGTATTTACCTGAACTACCCTCCTGTCCACTAACACGGCACCTGACGTTTCGGGTGTGTCATTTTCTTTTAACATTGACACTCTGGTGGAATTCATGTTAATGGACAGGAAGAACAACAAAGAAAACATGAAAACATGGGCATGGGTCGAAATTAAACCACCACGGACCAATTAAACCACCAGGGGACCCCATTTAGCAGGATTCTATCTGGGGTACCTATTTTGACCCACTGCCACCTTGAGAATCCATGACCCAATTTCGCTGCCCAACCCTGGTGGCCAGTGGGTGAAGCATCCGTCCGGTGCCGACCACCCCGTCAGAAGCTCCCGGCTTCCCCCGTTCTCCTCCAAAAAAACGGGCGCCTCCCTGTTGTCCGTTGACCACCAACCCCCCAAACAAGGAACCCGGCCCCCTGTCGCTGTTCGTTGACATGGAATAATTAACAAGGAAGGGCAGCACTCGAGAGGTATGGCTGTGGGTCAAAACCAATGGTACCATTTTGGGGCAGGTGCACCCATTTTAGAACCTATTTTAGTGGGGATTGGGATGTTCGCTAAGGGTACAGGATTTTGACCCATGGCCGTAGCAAACACTCCCCTTTCCAACAAACACTCCCCTTTCCGTCCTGGGTCTGGCGCAGCAGGATCTTCTTGGATCCCTCCTCGTCGATGAAGACCACGCCGTGGAAGGAGCTCGGCAGCGTGGGGTGGGGGTCCCCGTTGTCCAAGCCCAGCAGATACACCGCCACCTCCTTGTTGGACAAACCCGTGATCAGCGCGCCTGACGCGCAAGAAGGACGGCGGACGGGGGGCGCGGGATCTACTCGGCCACCACAAAGTTGCCTTCTTGTGTTCAGGGGTGTATGTGGATGGGAGAAAGGTGGTGGAAGAGCGGAAGGGGGATGGGGCTGGCAGGAAGCAAGGCACCTTCCCGAAACCATCTGGGCAATGGTCTTGGTCCAAAGATGTGTGGGGTGGGGCACCAGTTTGGTGCTCAGGAGACTGCCACGAGACATTTGGGTGGTACTCCTTCAAATGAGGGGTCGCTGAAAGGTTAATTTCGGGTCGGTTTCCCTCAACCCCATGCGAAAGGGGTCCAAGTTGTTGTACTGCATACTATACCGGTAGAGGGGAGCACGCCACCCAACGCAACGCCTCACCTTAGCTACTGCGTGGTTAACCGAGCGCAAGAACCGTCGGAGGCCAGAGCCGCATCCACCGAATCCGTGGACAGGCTTGCATGCGGCCTTACCTGCGCCACGGCTGCGGGAACAAAGAACTGGTTGCCGCGACAAAGGCATCGTTGAATGGTAGGCGAGCTGGCTGTCGGCGGTTGCGGGTTTCTGCATGCTAAGTGCAATGAGCTTATGTAATTGCATCAACCACTTCGCAGTCTTGGAACAACCTCCTGTCTGCTTGGTCATTTACGAGAGAGGGCGACCGACAACGGCTCCAGCAAGTAAACATGGGGTGGGAGGAGCTGATTGGGTGCGCACATTTATGATTTTGACTTGATTTGATTTCAAAGTACCACCCAATTCCAGTGATTGAGGCCCAGGAAGGTGTTGAGGTAAGATACTGTGGATGGACAACATCCGGCGCCACTTTGAAGTCATGGGAAACAATTGTGTGTGTTGGTATTCAGGGGGAATCATCATTCCAGGCTTCTTAGTCCATCCACAGTATGGATGAAGATAATTGCGGACTCAGGCAAAGGCTTGCCTGAGAATATTTCACATGACTCCAGTTCATCCAACCCCCCCTTCCTTCCCGTGCCTGTGTCGATGAGGGCATGGAAGCCCCCCACCGCGATGCGGTCCAACAGGCCTCCAAACCGCGGCAGGTGTTTCTCGGGACCGTTCCGGGTCTTGGGAATGAACAGTTTTGGGATTCCATTTAAAGGAGACCACGGGGGATGGTTTTTCTTGGGGTCATTCCAGCTCATTCCGACCCAGCAGTTTTTGTTGCGCCCGAGCCGCCAAGCCCTCCCCACTGCGCTGACTAGAACTCCTGGAGGCTCCGAAAGGCTCCCAGCAACTTCTGGAATACCAGCTCCGCGGGCCTTTTCTTTTCCAACCATCTAGCCGGGTGTCATATTGCTTGGCCTTGCTGGTCCACATGGCCCTGGCCAAAAATTGGGGGAAACAGCCACATGGAAAACGGATCAGCTCCAGGCCCCGAGTTTCCTTTGAAGTTTCAGCCCCTGAAACCCGAGACATCGCCGGCCTGTGACGGTCCAGTCTGCCCCGAAGACCTCGAAGGACACAACCTGAGGACAGAAGCTGGGATCCTTGGATCGCCAGGTGCGACCGCTTTTTTCCAGCAACTGTGACTGCTTTTAGGGTAAAGTGGCTGGAAAACAGCAGCACCTGGGCGATCCAAGCTGGAATTGCGTGGACTCGTCAAAGCCAATGCCTGGAAACAGACTCGGCACCCCGGCGATGTGCTTTGCAAGAGAACTTAGAATCGCTGGCCGAAGGATCAAGCTGTCAAAGGTGATCCCTCCAACCGACATGGATGGGCATGGCTCGCTCGACTACATCGGTCACTGAACAACGCTGGAGGTTCTGCGGCCCAGCCACCCCCTTTCCTTGTTTTGATACGGGGCCACCCTGCTGACACGGGAGGAAACAAAAAGCCAACAAGCAAACAAGCAAAAGAAAACACACAAACAAAAGACCAAACAGGACAACACCCAAACAAGCAAAAGGCAAACACAACAAAACAACACAAACTCACTTGAACAGGCCAATCACTTTCCGAACTCCAAACCTCCAACCACTCACCCCATTCATCCTCCAACCACGCAACCTCTCGAACACTCAAACCCAGTCCCCACCCCCACCCCACATGGATGCTCAACCCATTCAGCAAGCAAGTTCTAACTATACCTATAACCCAGGCCACTTGGCTTAGTTCCCTTGCAGTCATGGCCACAGCAGTGCTGGACACACACCCCTGCCAAACCTCCCCCCAAACCCAAAACCGCCCCCCCTCCCCAAAAAAACACCTCCTCCCCAAAACCTCCCCAAAACCTCCCCCGGAAAGAAAAAAACAAATCTCCCCCAAGAAAGCTCCCAAACAAACCTCCTCCCCAAAAAAGAACTCCCAAACAAACCTCCTCCCAAAAAACACCTCCTCCCCCAAACCTCCTCCCCAAAAAAACCTCCCAAACAAACCTCCTCCCAAACCAACCTCCTCCAAAAAAAAACAAAAAACTCCCAAACAAACCTCCTCCTCAAAAAACACCTCCCCCAAAAAAACCTCCCAAACAAACCTCCAAAAAAAAAAAAAAAAAAAAAAAAAAAAAAAAAACTCCCAAACAAACCTCCTCCTCAAAAAACACCTCCCCCAAAAAAAAACTTCCAAACAAACCTCCTCCCCCCAAAAAACCCTCCCCTCAAAAAAAGCCTCCCGCCTGCGGATTGGTCAAGGTGTGCACGATGGAGCCCTCGCTGCCCGGCTCGAAGTCGCAGGACCCCAGCTCCCGCGGCATCAGATCCGAGGGCGTGCCGCTGAAGCCGATGCGCTCCTTTGGCTTCGTCCGCGAATGGATCGGATCGGAATCGATGGATGGAGCGAGCCGTGGTCCAGGGCCGAACATTTGGCGACTTGGGGCCGGGGGGAAAAGGGGGGGGTGAATTTTTGGGGTCATTTTGCCAGGATTTGGACCGGGCAACCCATTTTGGTACGCAGCCAAGTTGGGGGGGGGAGTTGGGTCGAGATGAGGGTAGCCCACTTTGGGGTACCACGCAAGAGGGGGGAGGACATGACCAGGGTACCACAAAAAACAAAATGGTCATACCAGGAGTTGGACCGCAGGTTACCAGGGCAACCCATTTTTGGGTACGCAAAAGGGGAGAACTGACAGGGATAAAACTAAAAACAAAGGAACACATGGTATGGGTCAAAATGCAACCACCAGGATGGGGACCGCAGGTTTTCGTCCTTGCCTCCATTTACCAGGGCAACCCATTTACGATTTTTGGCTCACGGCCATTTGGGGCTTTTGGGGATTTGAGGGGGGGAACCGCCCCGGTGATTTGGTCTGGTCGAGCCCAAAGAAGGGATGAACAGAATGTGTGCATGTGTTTTATTTGGGGCGCTCAGGATGAGGAAAGTGATTCACGGGAATGAGCTGGTTTAGCCCCTAAAATTCCTTGGTTCCAGTCTTGGGAGAGCATCCCCACCCTTGTTAGGTGGTTTTGATTCCTTTGGAATGAGTGCCCCTTTCGCACAAAAGAAGCATCTGACCCGCACAATTTACCCGAGAAAGGGGCGGGACAGAACACATCCTTCTGGAGCATGGGTTTCTGCATGGGCTTCTGCATGGGTCAAGCCATAGGTGGCCTTTTGGACAAAAAAATCGATGAGTCTCCCGGCATAAACCATGCACCTCAGGGTCCATCAGATTCCGGCGGCTCGATCCATCGACGCGGCGACGCTCGAACGTGGCCACGCCTTGAAGAGCAGGGCGCCGCCCAGGTCTTGGCCCGAGGACATGAGCTTCACCTCGGTTCAAGTCAAAAGGTGAAGTAGGGGCCTCTGGTTCCTTGCTTTTTTTTTGGGGGGGAGGAGAGGGGCGAGGGGTCAGGTTGCTTTTGTGTTGTCGTTTTGTTTGTTTGTTTGTTTTGTTTATTTATTTATGTATTTTGTTTGGGTGTGTGTGTAGGGGTCAGAAGCACACAAACAGAGTACTTGAAAGGGAAAAGTTAGTTCTTCAACAGTTTTGGCACCTTTGGGTCAAAGGCGACCTGGTCCAAATCCTGAGTAGAACGACTGGACATCAACACGGCCGATTCGTGAATCCTGAGTCAAAACCAGGGGTTCAGTGTTTTCGCAACCCACCAAGCAAAAAAGAGATGAAGAGGCTCAAATCCACTCAACTGAGTGAACAAGAACCCTTTCTCTATTACCAAAGTTGGTCATGCGAATGACCACGTTATGTATTTTGTGCGGATTCCCCTTCGTATCACAGATACTGGCAACCTCTACCATTTTTCACATACACGTACCTGCAACTTCTACAATACTGCCGCCCTGAAGTAATTGGCATGGCATGATCCCTGGACTAATCCACAAACCACACCCCTAAACCACCACCGGGGAACACCCGAAAGGCTGCCGCCCTGAAGTAATTGGCATGGCATGATCCCTGGACTCCTAATCCACAAACCACAGCCCTAAACCACCACCGGGGAACACCCGAAAAGCTGCCGCCCTGAAGTAATTGGCATGGCATGATCCCTGGACTCCTAATCCACAAACCACAGCCCTAAACCACCACCGGGGAACACCCGAAAAGCTGCCGCCCTGAAGTAATTGGCATGGCATGATCCCTGGACTCCTAATCCACAAACCACAGCCCTAAACCACCACCGGGGAACACCCGAAAAGCTGCCGCCCTGAAGTAATTGGCATGGCATGATCCCTGGACTCCTAATCCACAAACCACAGCCCTAAACCACCACCGGGGAACACCCGAAAGGCTGCCGCCCTGAAGTAATTGGCATGGCATGATCCGGACTCCTAATCCACAAACCACAGCCCTAAACCACCACCGGGGAACACCCCCACACCCCTAAACCATCATCAAGCGGCGGGGAAAAACACCCGAAAGCCTCGCGAAACGGCTCGCGAAACGGCTCGCGCAACGCATCCGGCCTCCTGGAAGCGCAAGTGCTCGGGGAACACGATGGACTCCAAGTACCAGGCCACCACCTGAACGACAAATCCCGCCTCAACTCGACGTTTGGTCCCAAAATGCAGGAAACGGTTTTTATGGGTGGGTCCCTTTTTTTAGGGGACCCCACAAAATGACGACAAATCCCGCCTCAACTCGACGTGTTGTTTCTCCAAAATGCTTATAAAGGTCTATAATGGATGGGTCCTTTTTTAGGGGACCGCCCAAATGGGCTCGGTGTTCCTTCTGGTTTCCACAAACAATGACATACCCATACGGACTTTACCGTAACCCCAATTAAACCAGGTAGTAGATCCACCCATCCACCTACCACCTACTCAATTGCCCAAACCCCCCCCTCCTCCCCGTGCCTGGCCGTTCTTTCGCAGTAGCTTGAAGAGTTCGTTCATCTGGCGCCGGTTGCTGCGCTCCAGCATGTGCAACGGCAGAATCCGTACCTCAGGCACTTCTCTCGAGATTCTCGTGAATTGCGGAGTGCACTGGAAGGCCACGCGGCCCAGAGTTTGGAGACGCTCACCTACCCTCCATGTTCTTTTTCGTCCCCTGAAAAGACAAGAACAGGTATCTCCAGTAGTGATAGACTCCTCTTTACATCCGGGGGAAAATAATTCTTAAGCAAATGGAAGCCTGTGAGGCCCAGAGCAAGCTTAAAAAAAGGCTTCATTTCATTGCACAGCGGCTCTCTTCAAACTGAACTGCCTTTCCTGACCCCAATGCCAGAAGAGTCCCTGCAGGTCGTATTTCATTCTGATGCAGGTGTCGGCCTGAAGACAAACATGTTTTTGTTTGCCAGCTTCCGGCTTTTCAACATCGGAAAACGATGGTACCGGGTTGGCCTTTCGCATTTTGAACAACTCCGAAGCCTGAAAAATCGGATCCCCAAAGGACCTGTTGTGGATGGTCGCGAAATCCATTTCGCACCACCCTCCTCGTTTTTGGCGGGATTTTGAGGAAGCAACCCACAAAACAATGGGGAAAGAAAGGGGAGGATTCGTGCCGCCTTTTGAAGCACAAGGGCCCCTTATTGGACTACCAAGCCTCAAAAAGAAAGACTTGCCAAACTTGCATTTTGCGCCTGACGAATTGCAAAGTTCTCCTGGGGCCTGAACACAGGACATCCTACACAATTTTAAGCATGGAACAGATCGGGGCGTCTTTCCTGAGGATCCCCCGCTTGGGTTGAAAGGAAACCAAGAGGAAATCCACCATGGTTGAAAGAGAACCAAAGGGACAGCCACCATTTGACTGTATTGTTCTTTGGTTTTTTGGGGGGGTCCCAAAATGGCTAGGTGTCCCTTTAAACCCAAAAAAAACACGAGCACCCCGCCCAAAACGACCATCTCTCCGACGAGTCCGCGCGCCGAGCCCAACAAGCGCACGAACGCCGCGAGGCGGGCGCGCCTTCTTCTCCCGCACCTCGGCGGCGCGGGCCGCGGCCAGCTGCTCAGGGCTCAGGTCCTGGCGACGCGCCGCGCCGCCTCGATTTTTTGGGGCGGAGGCCCGCGGCTTCGTGGGCGAGGTGAGCGGTTGGGCCGTTGAAATGGGTGGCTGTGCAGAACCAATGGTACCATTTTGGGGTAGGTGCACCACCCATTTTAGAACCTGTTTTAGTGGTGAGCTATTGGCGGTTCAAAGGGGTGTGGCTCAAATTGTCAAAATGAAAGAGCCAGGGTTACGGACATTTGCTTGAGCCGCAGCCAAATGTGGCCATGGAGTGAACATCCCAATCCCCACTGAAATAGACTAAAATGGGTGGTGCACCTACCCCAGAATGGTACCATTGGTTTGATGTTCATACTGTGGATGGTTGCGAAATCCATGTCGCACCATTTTGAAACCATGGTTGAAACCATTGTTTGTTGGTATGCCCAGGGGATACCTCAGTCCAGGGTTTCTTATGTGATGCAGGATTTCGTCCATACACAGTCGGTGACATTTTGGGGTCCTGGGGTACACAGAAGATACTGTTGTCATAGGTGGTTTGGCTGTTCAAACCTGAAGGTGCTGTGGTTTTGTCAGAAGATACTGTTGTTATAGGTGACCTTCTCGAAATACATGAATAAAAAGTGTAAGCTAGTGGAACCCATCTATTGCTAAGCAAGCTAACCTAAAAAGGACCTATGTTAAGGCGTGCCTTATTGTTGATGGCACCCCCTTGTTTGGTTGTTTTAAAGGGAAACCAAAAGAAAACCAACCATTTTTGGGGGGTCCCTGCAAAAACAGACACAACCATTGAGAGAATGGCAACTTGGGACCCAGTTTGAAACTCGGCAAACATGTTGGAGGGTTGTATTAACCCAGTAACGCCCCTCCCAAATTATTGGTGGTGGACACAAATCCCCACCATAATGATGTTCACCAAAGGGTCCCTAAACCTTTTGATGATCCTTATGTCGTAGATACCCCCATATTCGTGCAACACAGATCCTAACTAGTGTACTGATGACTGGACCTGGGGTGTTGCCAAAATAGGGGGCTACCCAAATTGTAGTTTGTAGTTTGGCATCCTTTTGAATTTGTTTAAAGACCAACTACAGGGGCTCCACCATTAGTTTGGGAGGAGCCTACTAAGGGAGGTGGTGTCAATGGAAACCACACCTCGGGGCTATCAACACACGGCTGTGGCTGCTTTGTTGTTGGTACCCTTTTCAGCCCGCTCAGCCTTTCGGGGAAGCCAACGCATGACGCTACCATTTTTGGGCCCACGGACACATACCCCTATGGGACATTGTGTCCAGAATTGAAGGGGAAAAAGGACCTGCCCGATTCAGACTTGGTCGATGCGGCATGCGAAAGGATTTGGATCTGCCGCCGCTTCTCCGCTTATGGCCCTTTTTCTTCCATTTTTGAGTTTTGGCCGGTCAAAATCCACATCGTACCCCATTTGAACATCCCCATCCCCACTAAACTCGGTCCTAAAATGGTTGGTGCACCTACCCACCATTGGTGTTCACCCACAGCTTCTGTTTTTTGGGAGGGTGGGGAAGGGAAACGGGCTATGTCACTTGCCACCGCCTCCCACCGCCTCCCACCGACTCCCACCGACTCCCACCCCACCCCGCCCCCCGATCTCTCCGTCTACCCCACCCCGCTCGACGATCTCTCCACTCCGCTCGATCTCTCCGCTTTTCTCCTGGTAATCAATGGGCTATGCTATGTCTGGGGGTCAATGGGCTATGTCACTTGCCACCCACTCCCACCCTCCCACCCCACCCCCACCCCCACCCCCACCCCCACCCCCACCCCCACCCACCCCCACCCCACCCCGCTCGATCTCTCCGCTCGATCGCTTCTCCTGGAGCTCCTGGCGCCGGGTGGCCAGCACCCCGCCGGAGCCCTCCACCCAGCGCTTGAAGAGCAGCGCCGTGGGCCGCTCCGCCGCCAGGCCCGGCTCGCTCTCCAGGTTCGCCACCAGCAGATCCAGCACCGCCTGGAAATGGGAAGAACTTGCGGGTCTCAAAAGGCTGGGGAAGGGGGGCGGGGGGGTGGGTGAAGTGGAAACCCGCGCTAAACCCTAAAAAGTGGGGTAAATGAGGTTGTGAGTCAAAAGGCGGGGGGGGGGGGGGAGGGGGGTGGTGGGTTTTATGTGGACACCCGCGCGAAACCAACTAAAAAGCTAAACCCTAAAAAGCTGAACCAACGGGGAGGGTGGGCTGTGGGTTTTATTTGGAAACCCGCGCTGAACCCCAAAAAGCTCAAAAACTAAGGAAGAGGATGGCTGGGCAACCTTTGGCCCCGTCTTTCTCAAGTTGCCGGTCTTGGATTTCCTGTCTGAATTTGCGATTCCGGGCAATATGGTTCCCTACATGTTGCAAGCAAGCCAGCATCCAAGCACCCAACCAGAATAAATTGATGGTCATTACTGTTCGCCTAGTTGCTCACAATCCAGTAGCACCAAGGGTCTAAGGCGCCCCAACCTCCGTATCTGCGTATCTGGTTTGTTGTTCTGGTGAGTATGATGTCTCGATTGCGCCGCCAAAGTCTGTTGTGCCTTACGCGAGGCGCCTTCCCATGGCACGTGTGGCTTGGACACCTGGTGCGGACACCGTTGAATGCTTTGTTGGGTGCGTCATGGCATGTCTCAAACTAAAGAACCATTCAAACAGATTGCTGGCATCCTGGTATAATCTTAGAAGCTTCCCCGCAAAAAGCTGAGATTTGTTTAACAAACACACGCACGCACGGCCATATACTTACAAGTTGCTTCATCAAACCTAGCTCCATCGAAAAACAAAAAGGAAGAGAAGTCGGCTTGAGTCGGACTTGGCCCTGGCTTGTTGTAGCGAAAAAACAAAAAAAGAAACAAAGGCTTTTGGTGTGCGGGAATTGCGTGGGGCACATGGAACAACTCCAGCAGGTCTGAGCAAATTAAAATTGCATCATTGGCTGATCAAGCAAACAATAGGAACGCAAAAATAGTTCAAACGCCGAGCAAGACACTTCAAAAGCCCTGGACATCCGGAAACTGAGGGATAAACCAAACAGAGGAAGCTCCTTCCAATTCCTCCGTTCCTCGGTTCGAAGAGTTTCGCTCTGTTCTTCAGTTGGCTCCTGCCTCGTAGTCGGACATCCTGAGGCCCTCGTAGCGCAGGCTGAGCAGCGTCAGCCCGATGGTGATGTCCGGGTGTGCGAATTCTGAGGAGGGCGACGGCACGTCCTGGTCGATTTTTGCGTCCGTCGGCTCAGCCGCGCGCTGGGGCTTCATCGAAAGGTCCGGACGACATGGGATGGCGATTTGAAAACTTCCCCCGAAAATAACAGGACTTGGGAACATGGGGAAATGTGATCCCCGCGGTCTTTTGGGGGGTGCCCTAAATGGAATGTTGATCAACCCAGATCTCTTTGCCGGCCTGAAACAAGCCTAGCGCAAGGACCTGCCTCGCCAAAGCAAAATCATGAAGGGCCAACATTCACCCGGTCGAACCAGGAAGTCTACCTGTTCCACTAGGAGTATAATTACTTCCCTTGCAACATGATTGAAAGAAACAACTCCCTTTTGCCAACAATCCTGGAAGGTGACAGGGGGCCTTTTAAGATGACGGTAGTCTTCCAAAATCCGCCTGTCCACTTCTATGATGGTTGGAAGTGGAATAAACTGCTGCAACATGTCCTATCAATGGGACACCCCGCTAGCAGCTCCTCGACCGTATTGATCAATCAAAGGAATAGTGATCCTGGGTCAAAATGAACCATGGTGAAGTCACCTACTTGGGCTTCTCTTTTTTACAAAACCCTCAAAAAAGGTGTGTGTTCATTTCGGTTCCCTTCAAAATCACAAAAACAAAGGCACCAACTCCTGAAAGCACAAAACAAGAACGAACGAACCAAAGAGAGAACCGAAATGAGCTTGGTGAGGGGGACGTCCCCCACCTCCTATTTCATGGCTGGGGGGGAGGGAGGGGGGGAGAGGAGCCCAAATAGTATCTCCCCGCTCCCCCTCCACTTCTCAGAGCCCACCCACCCGCCCTCGCCATCGCCCGCCCGCGCGCGCGATCGATGCCCGCGCGCGCCAATCATCCCGCGGGAGCCTTGCCGATGAAGGGGATGGACAGCTTCGCGCGGGTCATGGGCATCCCCGGCTGCCGAATCAGCGCCTGGTCCACCTTCGAGTTTTGGAGGCCCGCGGGGAGGTTTTTTGAAGAAAACTGGGGGGAAACTGGGGGACCCTCCGTGGCTTCATTCCGATTCTGTCTTTTCTTTCAGTGTGTGTGTGTGTGTGTGTGTTTTTTTGGTGGGGGGAGGGGGGGGGGGGGGAGGGAAGGTTTTGTTTTTTTCATTGGGGGGGGGTTATCAAGTAAGTTGCAGCCATGGTTCTAACTGGGGTAAGTCGGGTTGGTTTTCCTCACAAGCATGGTTGCAAGTTATAACCCTGTCCAAAAACATGGAGCCTGGACGATTGGACGCTCTGGTGGGTTCCATGTTAATCGATGGGAGAGTAGTTGAGTTCAAAAGCTTACTTCTGTGGGAAACAAAGAGGTGGGTCCCCCTTGCGTATTTTGGGTAGAAGTCTAAATGAAGCTGCAACAGAAGGCTGCGTGCTTGGCCTTCGTGCTTTTATCGGGGAGTCAATGCCATGAAAGCAATCAGGCACTGCCAAACTATAGGATATGCATGCATATGCATCAATGACTTCGGAAGGGAATGTGAAAAGCAAACAAACAGACAGACAGACAGACAGACAGACAGACAGACAGACAGACAGACAGACAGACAAACAGAGAGTATTTCCTAAACTACGGGCCCCTCAACAGCTGTACGGGTCGGGTCGTCCGTCTTCCAACAACCAGAAAGGGGAGGAGATTTCCACTTGAAGGCTTTTACCAAGAACAAGCACCCACTAGCACACACCATTGCGTTGGATTCCATGCTATCTTCCCAGGCAAAGCCCGGCTCTCCAACCAACTCTCTCTCTCTCTCTCTCTCTCTCTCTCTCTGTCTCTTTGAGTAACGTCCGGGCACCTGGGCATCCGTCATGATACCATAGGTAACCCGATTGATCTTCTGCAAGACGTGAGGAAGGAAGATGGACAGCCAGTCCTGCGGCAAAGCAGCCCGGAAGAATTTGAAGTACGGATAAACACCGAAAGGGATCATAAATTAAATGCCTGCATGCTGAATGCAATATCTCAATTGACCTATACCAAGGGGAAGATGGAAACCAAAGACCAAACGACGAGCCTTTGGGCTTTGCGTGCTTTGCGGCCGCACCGAGAAAGACAAACCAATTCAGTTGTGCAGCAAAGACGGCTACACGGTTCCTGATAGCCTGGTCGCAACCCAGTCAGTAGCCATGAAAGCTACATCATCCACCTAAGCAGCTTTTGAAAGGCGTGATACATTGGATTCTACTTCCCAACCTATTCAAGCAGCCTCCCACTCATCTCTGGCATGTATGTCAAAATCGAGTCCCGAAACTCACGGAGATTCCCGTAAATTCAAAGGTGTTTCCAAAAACGGATGCCTTTTCATGGGGTTTCTCAGAATCTGGCATGTTTGGATGGCTCTCCAGGGAAGCCAAAAGGAGACCCAAGCCATTTTGGGGGTCCTCCATTTGGAGAAGCACCCTCGGAAATTCACCTGGGTCACTCCGCGTCTTGCGGCCGGGGCGCCGCCGACAAGTTCAGCATCTGCACGTCCCGCTTCGGCAGCATCTCCACGCGCTTCGCCAAGGGCGACTCGGGGGCCGAGATCTTCGTGATGTACTCCCGGACCTCTCCGTCCGACAGCCCGCCGTCGATGATCCTGGCCACGGATCGCTCCGCGCGGATCGGATCGGACCGCGACATCAGGTGGCCCAAACCGAGGGAAAAATAAGAGACAACTGGGAATGCACGGGGAAAAAAAGAGTTCCTCCAGAGTTGAGGCGTGCAAGAGTTCCCTGGATGCATCTACATGGATATCAACATGGGAAGTGTAGTTGCAGCAACAAAGGCTATGGCTACGTCAGTACAAGACTGACAAATGGGTCAAATGAATCCGAGCATGGCAAAGAAATTACGAAGAATGAATGCCCTCAAGCACAAATTGAACAATCATCTTTGCCTTGAATCTGGTGCACCTTTCTCAGCTTGCGTTGGACAGCTCTGCTGTTGCCACAATAGCAACGATCGCCCCAAGTGACGACGGACGCATCTGCCAGGATTGCAGCGAAAGCAGCACTTGTGGATTGAACCTGCTGCACGTTTCTCAGCTGAATTTGGACAGCACTGCTGTCATCTCCATTGTCAGGATAGCCCCAAGTGATGGCTGCCCCATCTGCCAGAATCGCAGCAAAAAGGCATCATCTGTGGCTTGAATCTCCTGGACGCTTCTCAGCTGATCTTGGACAGCACTGCTGTTGCCACCGTTGCAAGGATGCCCCCAGTGACGACTGCCCCATCTGGCAAGATGGCAGCAAACGCATTGGATGTGGATTGAATCTGCTGCACGTTTCTCAGCTGACTTTGGACAGCACTGCTGTTACCGCCATTGTGAGGCCCCAAGTGATGACTGCCCGAGCGATCCGCACACGACGCACGTGTGCGTCCTGATAGTTCGCGGTCTGCCCGATCGCATCGCCGGGAACAACCAGGTGTGCGTCAATATAGGAATCCGACACCCCGCAAAACGGATATAGGTTCAGTCTTCCTTTCGGTTTCCCGTTAAACCCCCACCCCCAAAACACCCCCCCCCCACCCCACCCCCCCCCCCAAAATACATAAAATGGCACTTCTAGCCTGAAAATTATTTTGAACAAGTATAGACACATTATAATAAATTACCTTATTCATTTACAATAAAACCCCTCAATATTACATAAGGTTAATACATCATTATCATCTATTAACCTTATCTAATTTACCAATCATTGTTCCTCAGCTTGTATCTTTCCTAAATTATGTTGATGCTTTGTTGTTTTAAGATGTCTTCCAAAATGCCCTTGACTTATTGAACAATTGCAAACATCACAACTAACAATATATTTATTTCTCCTATAAGTCCTTTCCAGTTTCTTTTTTCTATACTCCTCATCGTTTTCATATCTAATTCTTTGTTCCTCGTTCATTCTCTCCCTATGTCTATTTTGATAGTCTCTTTGAGCTTTTAAACACTTATCACATCGCATATTATCACCACTGAAACTTTCCTTAGACTTATCATTTTTACACTTTGAACACTTTTTCACTGCTTCCATCCTTATCATAGAACTACCGTATTTCTTTAAAGGCGTTTCCACGACTAAGAAAGAGTCAAGCAAATCAAGAAAAAATAAAATATTTCAATCTTTACAAACTATAAGTACAGTATAATTATAACATATAAGATTTTACATGTTATAATTATATTACAATGAAAGCACACATACCCTATGCGAGTTTCCACACATACCCTGTGTGAGTTTCCACACATACCCTGTGTGAGTTTCCACACATACTCTGTGTTAGTTTCCACACATACTCTATGTGAGTTTCCAGACTTGTCCATTGCTGGTTTTGGATGTCAAACAATACTGCTATTCAAACCGAATGTGGAACAAATTAAGAAATTGTTTTTTCATATTATTTAGTCATAATATGATTAAACATTGTTAAATTTTATAACCCTCATGGGGCATGTGTAGAAATCCACGTGAGCTATGTGTAGAAACCTACACGGGCTATGTGTAGAAACCTACATGGGCTATGTGTAGAAACCTACATGGGCTATGTGTAGAAACCTACATGGGCTATGTGTAGAAACCTACATGGGCTATGTGTAGAAACCTACATGGGCTATGTGTAGAAACCTACATGGGCTATGTGTAGAAACCTACATGGGCTATGTGTAGAAACCTACATGGGCTATGTGTAGAAACCTACATGGGCTATGTGTAGAAACCTACATGGGCTATGTGTAGAAACCTACATGGGCTATGTGTAGAAACCTACATGGGCTATGCGTAGAAACCTACATGGGGTATGTGTGGTGGGGATATATCTATAAGAATTTCAAGTTTCAATCCCAGCCCCAAACTCAAAATCCTTAATCCGTCAAACTCGCCAAGATTTCACAAATTAAACTACTAGGTATTTTATATAGGTCTTCCTGTTTATGTATTATTGGATTGTCTCCCCATTTTTCCTTAGTGCCCGATGGTAGCCGTTGTGCTGTTTCAATATGTTTATTATTCCTGATGTTGCCACAATCCTTTTTACATAAATCTCTAGGTTTCCAAGTTGTAATGTTATTCCAAAGCCTAGTTCTCTTTCTGTAAGGCATTCCATATTTACAATAATCAACATCTTTAAAATCAAACTCATCCATAAACTCCTGATGTCTTAATAATCCAGTTTGTGGATTTTCGATTACAAAATACTTAGGATTGAAATATTTGATAATTTCAATAGTTTTTAAGACAATACTATTTGCATATTCGATATTCCTAATGCCCCTAGTTTTTGCTACACTATATTCAGTGCATGGAGGACTTGCCCAGATAAAATCAAAATGGTTCCTATCAAATTGTTTATAATCCCATTTCAAAATATCAGTATTTATATCAGCATTTTTCAAATCCAATGAAATAACATTGAAACCGAGCGACTTTGCAACAAGTCCAACACTGCCTGTTCCGCTAAACATCTCTAATAAGTTCATTATTAAAGATATTTAGATAATATTATCTATGAGTAAATACAACTTTATGAATAAAGTTGCGTTTCCTCGTCATAGTCAATTTGATAAAATGTCATAGTTGAAGCCTTCGGTTCTTTAATTTCTTTGTTATTAAGTTTGTTTAAATAAATATTTCTTTTATTTTTATATTCCCCATTGGTTCTATCTACTTCTTTACTTTGATAACTGTTTGTTAATGGTTTCTTCTTTTCCATTTCTTGCAAGATTTCTAAAATATTCTTATTCTGTTCTAAAACCTTGTTCAGTTTTTTAACAATCTTTTCTAATCCTTCATCCATGTAAATATATATACTATATTATAAAAATAAAACTTTTAAAACTAAACTTTTATTTTTACAAAATCATATATCATTATAAGTCAATTCAAAATTAGTTATTGTGTAACTCGTTAAATTATTATTCAATTTACCAATTAAATTACAAATAATAGTTTTTCTAAATTTTGAATATTTATGAAACTTTTCAATATTATCTGTAATATAAATTATTAAACATTTAATACATTCAAACACATTAACAACATTAATGTTACTATTTTTGTAAATATTATTCATTTTTCTCAATGTAATTTCATAAAACTGAATAGCATTTTTATTATCATAATTAGCAATAAATCTTAAAGTATATGAATATATTCTTTTACAATAAAATTTTAAATCTGATTGTTCAAATAAATCAGCATAATTAATAGAATTATAAAACATGTTAAAATCAATTTTGCTATTTCTAAAGTCATTAACAAAATTAATTAATATATCATTTTCGTTATATTCTTCAATAAAATTATTCAATTTCAATTCTTTTACATCAATGAATTTAAGAATATTATTTATACCATCTTGCATTATAAATAATAATAGAAATAATTTTAACTATTGTTTTTTCATCATTTCACGAACAGTTTCCTGAGTTTCCTTATCACCATTATCGGTTGGTGATGCATGCCGTCCCCATTTGATAGCAATATTATGAACATCTGTTTCTAAGTTTATACTGTCTTTAGTTTTATCAATATTCATTTTCTTATCATTTCTACTTATTTTGAAACTTGTTGGAATACACGAACATTTACAGTTTCCTTTCTTTTGTATTTCTAATTCATTTTTCATTTCTAAGATTTTTTTACACATTGGACAAGCAAACTCAATAACTGATGTTTCTTTAACAATTTCTTCTTTTTCTTCATCGGTTGAAGAAACAACTGATTCAGTCTTATTCTTTTTCTTTCTCCCCATCTATATTAATATTTATATTTTTAATATATTGTATCACAAACTTAATTAATTCTAAAACAAAATAGCATACTTTCTTAAATCTATTATTAGTTATAACAACTTGTTCTATATTTTCTACTTCGTTTATTATATTGATATAATCTGAATAACTTCTATTCATATAAAATAATAAATATTAAATTATTTTCTAAATGTCTTTAATATTATTTTTATTATGCCTGATGTAAAACCAATTGATGAAATCAAATATGACTTTAAGCAAAGTAAGCACGAGGTCGTCCCTAAATTGCCATTCAGAAGTATCATAACTGGACCGTCAGGAAGCGGTAAAACAGTTTTATTGATTAATATGATACTTGATATATACAAAAACTGTTTTGAAAGAATATATATTTGGTCTCCTTCAATCAATGTTGATAGTGTGTGGTTGCCCGTTAAAAAATATATAAAAGAAGAAATGAAGGTGGATAATGAAAAAGAACCTTACTTATTTGAAGAGTTTAAGGCAGAAGATTTAGAACAAGTGATAGAGACACAACACAAAATAACAGAATATAGTAAAAGAAACAAATTAAGAAAATTGTTTTCCATATTGGTTATTTTGGATGATATAAGTGATGACCCTAAGGTGGCGAGACATAACAAACTGTTAAACTCATTGTATGTAAGAGGACGCCATAACGGTATATCAGTAATAACAAGTATTCAGAAATTTAATACAATACCACCATTAATTAGAGTAAATGCTACACATTTGTTCTTTTATAAAGTGAGAAATTTTAAAGAAATTGAGTTGCTACAAGATGAACTATCAGCAATTGTTAGAAGAAACAACTTACACGAAAGCAAGAA